TGAGTCAGCATAGCTGAAAGCTGCCCCAGCCTGAAAATAAGCACATCATATCAACATTACACTCACACCATCAAACAGGTTTTGTTTCTTAATTACTATTGTGAGTATATGAACACGATTCTTCCATTTCTAGCAATGACCGCTAGTGGCAGTTAGGATGAAAATTACATAAAAATATATGAAGTGTGTAAATTTATAGGTGTAGCAATCCAGCTTATTTCATGAAATGCTGGTCTGTTAGCTTATACCCCATGTTTTCTTTTCAGATTTACTCTTGGGCCAGAATCCACAGCTGTGGCATCATGGTGACCATAGCGGTGAGATGTGTCACGTTCCTGTCAGCAGTTCTGCTCAGGACGCTCTAATGCAGCTGACACAAAAAGGGTGCTTATGACAGATGACCTGCATGACAACATCTTTTGCTGGCTAAGCATAGGAGTAAGGCACCTCTCTGGAGCCACTGTTGCAAATTGTAAGTTGGCTTTTCCCTGTTTAGCATGGAAAGTATTGTAATGACTAATAAAGAAGTGTCCACTATCAATTTTAACCTATAAAAAAAAATGTTTTACATCTTTCCATATAAGAAATCATACAACCTCATCATACAACCTCAATTTTGCTGTAGGTCTCAGGGACTTGTATATAAAGATATCGCAAACAGCAACAATGTGCAAAAGGCTTGTTCATCTGTGGTCACAGTTTAACCCCTTAATGACAGCAATACTTATGCAATGGCATATGAGGATGGACCTTGACATTCACATATATGCCTCACTGTCTTGTTTTAGGGAGTGCTCCATCTGCATGCCCAGAACTGAACCAAGTTGTCACCCACAGCTCATGGTCAACTACCTACAGTACTATCAGAAATCTAGGGCTGCCATTTTAACAATTTACAGGATGTCCATAAATATCAGTTTACAGACAGTGAGCAGCCGTAGAAAACACTGGGAAAATCATTATTCGCACTGCGCATGCGCAGTGCCGGAGATGACCTATGATATTCGGCCATCTCCAGCGCACATTCACACTGCGGCAGCAAGTCAGGTCTGTGCATGTGCACTGGATATTTCTGTGACGTCATTGTGCACATTGCTTAGCATCTCAGACTCCGAAGAAGGAAGATCGCCCTGCTGCTTCCCTCTCCTCCATCAGTATGTTTGCCTGTGGAACTCGAACAGGCCACAGAAAGAATCGGTATGTTTGCTCGCCTAGTACTACTACTCTGCCACTGGTATTTTAGGAATTTTTGTCTGCACACAAAAGTTCAGTTTGATTTGAGAATGCAAAAAGGCCTCAGCACCACATCTCTGCCCATGCCTGCCTATGCCTAAGCCTACTCTGCTCGCACATATCACAGAAATCGCTGTTTGTTACTCTGCCAAAAAAGATTACAGTATTTTGAGAATTTTTGTGTGAGAGCGCAAAAAGGCCATGCTGCTTGCCTGCTTAAAGCCTGCCTGTGACCTGGCCACAGACACATATATGTGATTGCGAAAGTGTGTCCTACACTACTGCTACCACCACTGAGATTATTTTGGGCATTTTGGGTGTGCACTAAGTTCAGTTTGAGAGCACAAAAAGTCCATGCCACTTGCCTGCCTAATTCTGCTGGCCTGGCACAGGCCACATGACATGATGTATGTGATATTGTGAATGAATGTCTACTACTACTGCGTTATGGCCACCACTGAGATTATTTTGGGAATTTTGTGTGTGCAGTTCAGTTTGAGAGTGCCGAAGGCCATGCCGCTTGCCTGCTTAACTCTGCTGACACAGGCGAGGCCCCATGTATGTGATTGTGAACATGTATGTACTACTACACTACTGGCACCACTGAGATTATTTTGGGCATTTTGTGTGTGCACTAAGTTCAGTAAGCTTGGCCAGCCAAGAGGAGGGTGAAGGAGAAGAGCAAAGATCTTAGCTACTGCTGGGCCTGACCCAGTAGCCACTATCATGTTTGCTTTTCTCCTTCACCCTCCCTTTCTGTTTTTGTGCTGATAGGTTGGATTCCCCTGCCCTACCTGGACCTACACTATGGCCACCACTGAGATAAATTTGGCCATTTTGTGTGTGCACTAAGTTCAGTTTGAGAGGCCATGCCGCTTGCCTGCCTAACTCTGCTGACACAGATGAGGCCACATGTATTATGTGATTGTGAATGTGCACTACTAAACTACTGGCACCACTGACATTATTTTGGTCGTTAGTTCAGTTTGAGAGTGCAAAAGGCCATGCCACTTGTCTGCCTAACTCTGCTGACACAGGTGAGGCCCTATGTATGTGATTGTGAATGTGTATGTACTACTACACTACTGGCACCACTGATATTATTTTGGGCATTTTGGACTACCCTGTCTGCTCCGGCTCCGCTCACTCTGCACGCTTGACTGGGTAACTCTGCTTACACAAGCCAGAGACTCGGTATGTATGCTAGTAAAACTCTGAGATTATTTTTGGCATTTTGTCTGCTCTAAGTTCAGTTTGAGAGTGTGAAAAGTCCACACCACTTGCCTGCCTAAGAATGCGTTTGTGCTGGCAAAGGCCACATGTATGTGATTGTGAAAGTGTACTACTACTACTGCCAGCACTGAGATGGATTTGGGACATTTTCTGTACACTAAGTTCAGTTTGCTTGGCGAAGAAAGTGAAGGAGAAAAGCAACTATCATGTTTGCTTTTCTCCTTCACCCTCTCCCTTCTGTGTTTTTTCTTTGTGCTGTTAGGTTGTGTGTCCCTGAACTATGGACTCCCAATCACACCAGCTCCCATACGATGGTGCCACCACTGCAGCTATCATCAAGAACTACCAGCTGCCTCCCACGACTCCTGAAGCATTACTTTTGACTACAATCCAGTAAGCAATTAGATAATTTTTTTGTGGTGAGCTTTCTCATACAAATTATCTGCTATTTTCCTGTTTGCTTTTCTTCTTGTGCTGTTAGGTTCTCCTGGACTAATGCCACCCATACATTCACCAGCCAGTAGCACTGCCTCCAGTCTGTCCAGATTGGATCCCTTTTCTTGCAGCTCTGTCCTCTGGTAAGTATGAAAGCCTGTTGTTTTGGAAACTCTATGTTACTGCTACTGTGGGGAAGGGAACTTGGGTGGCGGGAGTAGGAGTCTGTGGGGATTGAGGTCATATAAAGCTGATGTTTTTGTTTCTTCTTTCCTAGCAAACTCTACAGCAGTGTTTCTCAACTGGGGTTCCACGGAACCATAGGGTTCTGCGAGAAGAACGCAGGGGTTTTGCATGATATAACATTATGGAGACTGTATAATGCCTAATGTTGCTTCCAGTGTTGCTCACAGTGCGCGCTGACAGTCAGTAGTGTCAGCGTGCATTGATACCCGATGCCTTCTCTATAGCTAGAGGGCGGGGCCAGGAGTAGTACAGAGTGCGGGAGCAGAAGAAGGAGGTGGTGGCTGTCTGTGACAGCGCTGAGCACAGAGCGGGAGCACATGACTTGCATTGGGATGTGAGATCCTACAGCTACAAAGACACAGGGTGCAAGAGGTGGTGGAAGGAGGAGGGCAGAGAGCCACTAGCTGCTGAAGCACATGGGTGGTTCAGGAGGCGAGATCCTGTTGCAGTTGCAGTATTACAGAATGCGGGGAGGAGGAAGCAGAGAGCCTCCAGAGCATGTGGCTGTATGGGAGATGAGATCTTCTTAGAGATGCAGAGTGCTGGAGGAGGGGCAGAAAGGAGGCAGGAGGTGACATCCAATGTATGACAGGAGTGATGCAGACTGCAGAGAGCTGGAGCACATAGCTAGGTCAGACTGAATGTAGCAGGATGTGAGATGATACTAGCTTTTTGTTATTATGCCATAAATTAACGATAATTAAAGCTATTATGATCTTACCTCCTGCTACATTCAGTCCCATCCAGCCACATGCTCCTGCTCTCTGCGCCCCCTCTCTGCATTCAGCGTTGCCATAAACTGAATGTCACCTCCTCATCTAGCCATGTGATTCATATACAGCTCGCTGATCAGATTCAATGTTTCCTGAGCTGAAAATTTTTTCAAGCGTTCCCCAAGATCTTTCATTAACTATAGCTTTCCTGATGTTTGTGTACACATACAGGCATCTGCAGAACACAAGGCATTGCTAGCAGAGGTTACACAATCAGTGCCAGTTACTGAAATGTAATAGGATTCAGGATTGGTTTGGCCGTAGTTTAACTCTATGGTGGCTAATTGTCTATGGGACTGAAATTGAAGGGAAATATCTACATCTGGACGCAGGTGACAAAACTGCTGGGTTATATTTAGGCAGGCGCTACCACTAGGTGAACTAGGGAGCTACCTAGGGTGCACTGCCGCCTAGGGCGCAGCCACTGCCACTGCCACTGGTGTTTCCCCTACCTCCTCCTGGGTACTCTCGCTCCCCCCTCCTCCTCCTGCTGGTCCCCCATGTACCTTCTCTCCACTGCCTCTCCATCCCTTTGTAAGCTGCCTCTGGCCACAGTGCTGCCCTAAAGCCACAGCGCTGAACCCTGTACACATACATGTCTGTTGAACTAAAGCCAAGTAGAACTACATAACATCATGACCTCCCTCTCATCTCCAGCTGGGCCGGTCCAGGAAAGTTTGGAAGCCGGAGTGCCACAGTACAGGGACACTCTGCCCTTTCCAGTGAAGGAAAGAGGTGGCGTAGGGGACCAGCATGGGGGAGGTGGTGCTGGGCATCATCCACTGGAACGGGATACAGAGGAGGAAACAGGCTCTGGACAGGGTCTTTTCCTCCTCCCAGCCCAACCTCTGCTTCTCTAGGATTGACTTCTTACCCTCCAGCACCCCCTGTAGTAGCCCCGGCAGCATCGCCAGTACCCTTGAGGCTTCACACTGTGCTGCCTCCAGGATCACCTCCTACCCTACAACCAGAGTTGGGACACCCGGGATGGAGAAGGACAGCAAGGACCAAACCAGGAGACTCCCAGAGGACACCAGCTGTCCCATCAGAAGAGCCCTGCCCGGCAATGAGTGCATCGTCCAGCTACTGAATCCCATCAGCACCAAGGACAGCAGGTCTGCCAAGGTAGGGGAGAGGTGACAACAGACTATGAATGCTTGGGGAGGGGGTGGGGGGGCTGTAATCATCATCCCAGTGCAGAGTTTACTATAATTGTGGCCAGGGGCGGACTGACAACTCATGGGGCCCCCGGGCAATAGGTGATCATGGGGCCCCTGTGTCCTTGCCCAAACTCAAAAAAGCCTATGAAAAAAGGTACCAGGGGCATCTCATGGGGCCCCCTATTGACCCCGGGCCCTCAGGCAGTGCCCGAGTTTCCAAATGGTCAGTCCGCCCCTGATTGTGGCTGTACCTTACTGCTCCCTGCAAGAAGCTGATCTGGGTACAAAATAGTCTAGCACCGGCCTTGTTTATACTAACCTGACTTTTATGGAAATTGGAGAAATATGATTTTGGACTGTTCTTATAACTTAACCACTTCAATACCGGGTACTTTTACCCCCTTCCTGCCCAGGCCAATTTTCAGCTTTCAGTATTGTCGCACTTTGAATGACAATTGCGTGGTGATGCAACACTGTACCTATAAAGATTTTTAATCATTTTTTTCACACAAATTATTATTATTATTATTATACAGTATTTATATAGCGCCAATAGTTTGCTCAGCGCTGTACATTATAGTGGGAGACAGTACAGTAACAATACAATGCGATACATGAGGGATTCGAGGGCCCTGCTCCTTGGAGCTTACAATCTAGGAACTTTCTTTTGGTGGTATTTAATCACACCTGAATTTTTTATTTTTTGCTAAACAAAAAAACCCAAAATCTTTAAAAAAAACTAATTTTTCTTTGTTTCTAATTCTGCAAATAAATAACCGTTCTTCGTGAATTTAGGCCAAAATGCATTCTGCTACATTTCTTTGGTGAAAATACCGCAAATTAGTGTATATTATTTAGTCTGTAGGAAAGTTATAGAGTCCACAAACCATGGTATATATATCTGGCAATCGATCAATCATTGTACTGACGGCCAATCTCATCTCTTGAGGCCCGAAAATGCCAAGATAGTACAAATGCCCCGAAATGACCCATTTTTGGAAAATAGACAGTCCAAGGTATTTAATAAGATTTTTTTTCTTTTTACATATTGTCCACCAGTCCAGTACAGTGTTATTATACAACTGGTGTGGCAGTGATCAGGGACACTGACTGGTGACAGTATGTAAAAAAAATAAAAATAATAATTTATTTTTTTAATTTCAATTTTTTCTATTATTTTTTTTCTTTTTTAATTACGTTTTTTTTTTTTTTTTTTTTTAATAGTTTTTTTTAACACACAGTGACAGGAGCAATACAATATTATCATAGTCACATTGAACTACTCTGGGCAAGTTATCAGGATTATTTTTTTTTTTCCCCCACACTATGATTGCCAATACCAATGATATTTGCAACCATTGTTGCTGAATGAAACTGATTTATTCAGTCTTTTGCTGTGATTAGCTGTGATTAGGCAAAGCTCATCACATGATACAAATGAGCTGTGATTGGCCCTGTCTGTACCATATGACTTATTTGACCAATCACAGCTAACAACACAATTGTATACAATGTATGGCATGAAAGGAAGCTATCCATTGTATATAATTGTCATGTGATCTGCTGTAATTGGTCATAGCGGTCACATGACACTGGCAATGGGCCAGAGTAGTGATCTGTCATCGGCTGTGTCCCGTGGACATAGCTGGTGACAGATTGCGCAGCTGCAAGGCCACGTGAGTGGCACCTTCTGACAGGATGTCATATGATGCCCACTCAGAAGGAGGAGTGTCCTGCCTGGCCATCAATCTGCTATAGGCTGGGCAGAAGGTGTTAAACACATTGCAAACAGTGCTTACTATTGTTTATAGCTTAACCACTTCCCGTTCGGCCCCATGTACATAAACGGCCAAACAGGAGCAGTGCAGGAGTGCGTTCCCGTTCATAAACAGCGCCCGCATTTACAGCCTGTGCACACTCCCTGGGAGCGTGCGGCACTGAACACCGATCGCCGTGAGGTCCCGATCATGTGATCACTGATTGGCCAATCGGTGATCACATGAATCGTAGAAAGCAAGATGTCACTTCCTGACATCATTGCTTACTACTAGTGAAATCTATGAATGATCACAGAGGTCACCTGATACAAGGCTATTCACAACAGTCTTGTACCATGTGACAAGCTGTGACCAATCACAGCTCTCACAGTATTTCTCAATGGCTTCAAGAATGCAGCCTGAGAAAAGGAGAAATGATTGCTTTTACAGCCTTTATGGGTGTAAAAGCAGTCCGTGTAAAAAAAAAAAAAAAATCTTCGTCACTCCCCGCAATTAGTACAGTGTCACTATAGGGACACTGTACTGCTAGGGTGACAGTATGTAAAAAAAAAACCCAAATAATAATATAAAAAAAAAAATGTAAAAACAAATTTTGAAAAATTATAATTTTTGGTTATAAACTAATTTGGGTTATTTTTGTTTTACTAAAAAGATAGCTGAATACATTTTGGCAAAGATTTATGAAGAAAGATTATTTATTTGCAAAATTTTATAGGAAAACACTTTTTTTCAAAATGTTTTGACTTTTTCTTTTATATAGCAAAAAAAATTAAAATTGCAGTGGTGAATAAATACCACCAAAATAAAGTTTTATCTGTCTCAAAAAATGCTAAAAAATGCATGTTGGTACACTGTTGCATGACCGCGCAATTGTCATTCAACGTGTGATAGCACTGAAAGCTGAAGATTGGCCTGAACAGGAAGGGGGTAAAAGTGTCCAGACCTGAAGTGGTTAAATACTGATATTTACACTGTTTTGCACTTAAAAATGCCATTTGATGTAAAGTGTCAGTAAAAAATGTGGTTCTGTCAATAATTCTCATGATTTGTGCCAGTAAGAAATTGGTGCTGTTTGCAAATTTTGAGTCTCCTGTCAGTGATTTTCATTTTGGGGGATTGGCAGCCCTGTCCTAATCCAGTAAGATGGGTTCCCAATTTCTATCTGGAGTGAGTCGAATAGGCCAAATGACCTCAGCATTGTGAAGCCAATCAAACTGCTGCATGATCAGGAGGCCGTTCCTCCAACCTCAGGTACCATGACCCATTTAAAGCACTGGCTCTTACTGAATTAAAGGGGGTTAACATATCCCTGCTTCTAGAGATCTCACAGTCAAATAAAAGCACCCTACAAAAGATTACTCATACTTACCTTTCTGGTAAACGTCAGCACCAATCTCCTCTATTGAACTGCAGCACACATTGGGGACCTAAGGAATCCAACACTCCCAGGAGTTTGGGTTTCCAACAGCAGCCATAGTTCTTGAACAGTGTGAAGATTGTTGTAGCCTGCCAGAAAGGTATTCTCTTTTGCAGAGTGCTTCTATTTGATTGTGTGTGTTTTAGAGACATGGCCACTTTAAAGTAATATGAATTATAATAGGTAATTTTAAATTGGTTCTGTCTTGGAAATTCGCTTTAACGAATTTCTCCTTACCGTGAGTACTCGCAGTTGGATGCGCAGAAATCCCCCATAAAGCTGTGCGAATCTCGCTTACCACGACTGCAGCTAAATTACACGATTCCTGCCCATCCAAATGGGTTAGCTTCTGTTGAAATGTGGGTGATGGAGCTCCGTTACCCTAGAATGATCACACGACACTCTAAGGCTCGTGTTGCAATTCACATAAGGGCCGGCTTCAGACTCAGCCCTCGGTTTTATTACAAATACACACATGCCCCCCACATGAATAAAGTCAATCCCCTCCCACCGAACAATGCAATGGGGATGCCTATACACAGGATGTACATTCCGATTGGAGCATAGTCTTTCCTATTATCTATCACTGGTCCTCCCCCATGAGCCTTCTGAGGTCAGCAGACTTCCTCCCCTTCCCCCCCATGAGCCTTCTGAGGTCATATTTCCCAGCTCCTAGCAGTATGTTCATTCTCTGTACAAGCATCCCCTAGGAACATCAGTCTGTACCTGGATGGGCCCGATACAATCTTTATTAAAACACATCCATCCAAGATACAGTTCAGGTCGGTAATGGGTTGTAAGATATGCATAAGCCTACAAGCGGAGTTTTCGTACCGCTCCCTTGCGTTATAAAGTCCCATGTGGTACTATGCCGCTGATATGTGGATACAGGCCCGCGGTCTACTGCCAGCGGCATTCGCATCGAATGCAGTGGTGGTGATACACGCCGGTCTATAAGCGCAGATCCCATCTCATCCATTACCGAGCTGAGTACTGTAAATACATACATTGTACATGCGCATGGCCCAATTGCAGCCTTCAGAGCTTTAATTAAGCCACACGAGAGACAAATGAATAACAAGAATATATGACACATTTAAGTTCCACACAACAATTACAAAATTTTCC